TTCCTCATCCTCCACAACATTCTCATCTTCATCCAGCAATTGTGTAATCCTATTCTTTGCTCTCCTCTGCTTTGTAAGGGCGTGGAAAAATTTAGTATTCCTATCACCTTCCCTCAACCAAAATACCCTACATTTTTGCTTCCAGAACATCTCCTCCGCCTTAAGAGCGTCAGAAAGTTCTTTTAAGGCCGCTGCAATCTCTTCTGTAGTGGCGTCATCATTCGAGGATAAACGATCAACCTTTTCCTTCAACTCCTCTATACTTTTCTCTGAGTTCAGATTAAGTTGCCTTTTCCATTCACATAGGACTCGCCTACAACTTGCAATATGGTCCATGATACTCGCCCCGGGTGGAAGATCAGGTGACTTCCACCCTTCAAGAATTATTTGCCTGAGCTCCTCATTATCCAGCCATCTTTTATCAAACTTAAAGTTTTTTGATCGTCGCGGCTTTTTTTTCAGAATATCAGCCAAGATCGGACGATGATCCGATCCCCAGAGCCTCATATATTGCACTTTAGAATGAGGGAATTTCTCGTGCCAGTTCTCATTTCCAACCGCTCTATCAAGACGACATCTAACGGTAGCATTCCCTGCTCGTTTTCCTACCCATGAAAGCATATTCCCTGTGAAAGGGAATTCCAGCATACCACAATCACTCAACATTTGTTTGAAAGGTGAAAATGAGGTATCAGTGCGTCGTCTGCCTCCTTCCTTCTCCTCATGACAGGTAATTTCATTAAAGTCACCTATCATAAACCATGGTCCATTCCTTGTCGTTGAGAAACGCGTAAGACGTTCCCAAACTAAACCTCTTCGTTCTAATACAGGATCCCCATAAACAAACGTCATATAGACTTTTATTCCATCAATGACTGCCTCAATGTCAATCATTCTGTTATTAGAAAATAAAACATTAACTTGAAATTCATCTTAATGTGTATTCATTTTAGATAGTAGATTGTTGTATATATATATATAACTTTAAGATATGTTAATTTGTAGAAATATATTATATAATTTATTATGTTAACCCGCTTTGCAAACATAATATCTTATTTAAACATAAATATTTATTCTTTTGAAAAAAACATATTAATATATCAGTTTAATATAATGTTATCATATTTAGTTCAGTTTTAAGATATGTTAATCTGCCGAGATATATTATATATTTTATTATGTTAACCCGCTTTGCAAACATAATATATTATTTAAACATAAATATTTATTATTTTGAAAATAAAATATATTAATATATCAATTTAATATACTTTTATCATATTTAGTTCAGTTTTATAATTATTTTATATTATAAATTATGATTATTAAATAAATAAATATGTGATATAATTTTTATTTCGTTTTATAAACATTACCTGAATATATAGAAATGAAAAATAATATTTTATTATTATTACAAAATTACTGAATATATTTACATAAAATTATAGAAATTGAGATCGTGGTAAAATCTTGTTCAACAAATTTGTTAGAAACTTTAATATAAGTATAAAAAATATATATATATATATATATAAGTGTGATTTTTTGATATGTATGTATATATTATAAGTACTTAAATACGAAATGGAACTAACTTTATTTTCAAAAAAAATTATTATATTTTTTTCACTTTCTTAATTATTTTATTAATTGATTCTTTCCAAACAACTTGACGTGGATTTATTTAAAAAGGAAAAAATTACCTATTTTAAATGATTTATTATATTTTTTATATTTTTCGTTCTTTCAAACTATTTCATTAGTTATATTTACCGTAATAATTAATCATTCCAAGTTATTTATTAAAAATATATTTACTATAACAATTATAAAAAAAATCATACATGAAAGAAGTCATGAATTTATTTTAATAGTATAGATGAAGAAACCATATGAAGAGTTTACGGCAACAATAAATATGTGATCTCAAATTGACAGCTTTGATATATACTCTCGAGAAACTGATGATCACTTGATGAAAGTTCTTAATAAATCATGTGAATATTAAGGGAAATAGATATTATTGTTGNAACCATATGAAGAGTTTACGGCAACAATAAATATGTGATCTCAAATTGACAGCTTTGATATATACTCTCGAGAAACTGATGATCACTTGATGAAAGTTCTTAATAAATCATGTGAATATTAAGGGAAATAGATATTATTGTTGCAAGAACGATGGGGTGATATAGTAAGCAGAAAGTAGTATTAAGGAATAAAAAAACACATGAATTTCAAGGAAAATAAATATTTGGGGTGATTGGTTGGGTTATAACTGCTGACTTTAGTTTCAACTTTTATCTACAGCACTTAAATCATCAATCATGTTTTATCTTATTTTTTAAAGCTACAACCAAAAATTTAAAAAAATGGTTGTAAAATCCTTATTTTCTAAAGCCACAATTTTTTGCTGTAGAAAATATGTTGTTGTAGCAATAAATTTTAAAGCTACATCTCTTACAGCAAAATCAAAAAACTCTACAAACTAATTTCTACAGTAAAACTTTTACAGTTACAGTTCAACCAATCATCCCCATTATTGCTGCAAGAATGATGGGAGTGATATAGTAAACATAAAATATTATTAAAGAATAAATAAAACATGAATTTCTAGAGAAAATCCATTTTTCTAGGGAAGGTCCAATTTTAATTATAATACATATAACATAACATTATGAAAAGCATAGCAATTTTAATAGTACATATATGCTTTTGAAATTAATTTTATAACTTATAAACTTAAAAGTTAAGATTTCTGAAAGAAACCAAGTTTTAGATTTGTGTAGTTGAAGAATTGAAAAAAAAAACTAAGCTTTAGATTTCATAAAAAAAAAATTGAATAAAAACAATAAAGTTGGTATCTACGTTGGTACCTTAATTAATCATTTGGTTATCTTAATCAAATCAAATTAGAGAAAAGCATAAGTAGCTAGATTGTAGGCAGATTTTGTTTAGATATTTAAGCTTTTATAGGTAGAATATATATGGAAAATGATAGAATCATTAATGTGATAATTTTCTAGTGATGGTCCATTTCTTAAAATATCACACATGAATTAAGGTTGTAACTTTTGTTTTAATATATAAGATAAATAAATATGTGATATAATTTTTATTTCGTTTTATAAACATTACCTGAATATATAGAAATGAAAAATAATATTTTATTATTATTACAAAATTACTGAATATATTTACATAAAATTATAGAAATTAAGATCGTGGTAAAACCTTGCTCAACAAATTTGTTAGAAACTTTAATATAAGTATAAAAAAAAAATATATATATATATATATATATATGTGTGATTTTTTGATATGTATGTATATATTATAAGTACTTAAATACGAAATGGAACTAACTTTATTTTCAAAAAAAATTATTATATTTTTTTCACTTTCTTAATTATTTTATTAATTTATTCTTTCCAAACAACTTGACGTGAATTTATTTAAAAAGGAAAAAAATTACCTATTTTAAATGATTTATTATATTTTTTATATTTTTCGTTCTTTCAAACTATTTCATTTGTTATATTTACCGTAATAATTAATCATTCGAAGTTATTTATTAAAAATATATTTACTATAAAAGTTATAAAAAAAAAAAAATCATACATGAAAGAAGTCATGAATTTATTTTAATAGTATAGATGAAGAAACCATATGAAGAGTTTACGGCAACAATAAATATGTGATCTCAAATTGACAGCTTTGATATATACTCTCGAGAAACTGATGATCACTTGATGAAAGTTCTTAATAAATCATGTGAATATTAAGGGAAATAGATATTATTGTTGNAACCATATGAAGAGTTTACGGCAACAATAAATATGTGATCTCAAATTGACAGCTTTGATATATACTCTCGAGAAACTGATGATCACTTGATGAAAGTTCTTAATAAATCATGTGAATATTAAGGGAAATAGATATTATTGTTGCAAGAACGATGGGGTGATATAGTAAGCAGAAAGTAGTATTAAGGAATAAAAAAACATGAATTTCAAGGAAAATAAATATTTGGGGTGATTGGTTGGGTTATAAGTACTGACTTTAGTTTCAATTTTTATCTACAGCACTTAAATCACCAATCATGTTTTATCTTATTTTTTAAAGCTATAACCAAAAATTAAAAAAATGGTTGTAAAATCCTTATTTTCTAAAGCCACATTTTTTTGCTGTAGAAAATATGTTGTTGTAGCAATAAATTTTAAAGCTACATCTCTTACAGCAAAATCAAAAAACTCTACAAACTAATTTCTACAGTAAAACTTTTACAGTTACAGTTCAACCAATCATCCCCATTATTGTTGCAAGAATGATGGGAGTGATATAGTAAACATAAAATATTATTAAAGAATAAATAAAACATGAATTTCTAGAGAAAATTCATTTTTCTAGGGAAGGTCCAGTTTTAATTATAAAACATATAACATAACATTATGAAAAGCATAGCAATTTTAATAGTACATATATGCTTTTGAAATTAATTTTATAACTTATAAACTTAAAAGTTCAGATTTCTGAAAGAAACCAAGTTTTAAATTTGTGTAGTTGAAGAATTGAAAAAAAAACTAAGCTTTAGATTTCATAAAAAAAAAAATTGAATAAAAACAATAAAGTTGGTATCTACGTTGGTACCTTAATTAATCATTTGGTTATCTTAATCAAATCAAATTAGAGAAAAGTATAAGTAGCTAGATTGTAGGCAGATTTTGTTTAGATATTTAAGCTTTTATAGGTAGAATATATATGGAAAATGATAGAATCATTAATGTGATAATTTTTTAGTGATGGTCCATTTCTTAAAATATCACACATGAATCAAGGTTATGACTTCTATTTTAATATATAAGATACATGTAGTAAAAGAAACATGGCTATAATTTAATGAATAGTTCAAATTAATTAAGTATCCGATAGTCACACCAGTGTAGGGAGAAGAAATCAAATGAACTTATTTTTTTCATTGTTTGCATGAATAAGAGATGCTCTTTAAAGAAGGAAAAAGGGGATTTGGATGCCAAAATAAAATAAGAAAATTATCCTCTAAAGACTAAATTGTGGCAAGTTTTGTCACAAGGATAAGCACAGTCTATGAGCTTTGCTCCTCCTCTTTCGAAATACCAATCTCCCACAGCTACTGCAATTCCCTGTTTTCGTGTATACAACAAACATATCAACGTAAATAAGATGATTAATTTGATCAAAACAAAAATTCAAACAACAATGCTAGCTAAAAATGTTAGTTTGAATATTGCATATTGTTTGTAGCTTTTCAATGGGGAATAGTCGAAAGACCAAAGAATAATGATCAATAAAAGAACCAAAAATGTTCCGTACCTTGTTGTTAACCGCAGGAGAGTTTTTGGAATACCATGTGTCATACCTCTCTGTTTGGCAATGAGCAAAACACGAGTTAAGAAACACTCCGTTCTTACTCGGCTTTGCGAAACCTTTGATCAAATTCACCATACGAGTCCTGAAACCTGTCACACATTAATTTAAAAGCAAGAACAAAAAAAATTAGTTAGTTGATTATTCAAAAATCAATAACATTATTAGCTCATGTTCCACCTTGCAAAAACTGGATCTGAGTTGTATTGCACTTGGTGTAGTCAAGTCTACAATCATGCCAACTTCCACTTGGGTCTGCAGTTTTGGGAGCTAAACTCTCTTGGATCTGCACAAACAATATATCAAAATACACATTTTGCCTATGTAGATAAAACTGAGAGTTAAAGAATAGAATACAAACTAACCTGCCACGAATCGTAGGCAGTATTTAGAATAAACAATGGAGTCTTGATTTGGTTGATTAGGTTTTGCGGGAAAAAACACTGCAATGTTGAATCATTATAGTTTAAAATACATCTGCCTTACCTGGTTTTACTACAGAGATAGAAAGATGAGAAACCATACTGAAGTTGGATTAAGACGGTTTAAACACTCCTTAGAGAGCTTTGTTTCCAGATTCTGTAGAAACATTACACAATCTTTGATTACTATTCTCGTAACAAAGTGTAACACATTGAAAATGTTTGTGTTCGTACCTGTAACTTTACCACACCAGCATATAAACGTCTAAGAGATCGACCTCCAGAAACATCGATGCTTCAGTTACAAAACAAGTCAATATATATACCAAAATAATAATGTAGTTGTTAGAAAATTACTCACGCGTCAAGGAAAAAGCCAGCATCACTCAAACATTTCACTTTAGTAGAAGGAGGAAACATATTCCCAAAATCATCACACCGTAAAATGGCTGCAAGACCTCCAGCAGAACATCCAGAGAGCAGAGCCTAATGTGGCATAAAGGTCAAAGCAGAGTACATATATGAAAAGAAAAGAAAAGAAAAGAAAAAATTAGTTTTACCTGTTTGGCTTGACGCATTCCCTTTGCCATCAAATCTTCCATAGCAGCTAACCATATTTTTTTTCCTCTGAACTGAAGTTGTGCAGCCTAAAATAACATATAAGAATCAACGTTACAGAAACTGTTATCAAGTTTTAATTCATGTTTCAGCTAAGCTAACCTTATTTTCGCTGTCTCCGCTAAAAGATCCACCGTCACAGTACCTAACTTTCACTCTATTCCAGTTGTAAAAATCTGCAAACAAACATTTGTATTAACAGCCTAAACCGATATAACATCATATAGAGTAATTTATTAAATACTAACCTGGATTATCTGCGGCTTGGTCACTTAGAATTCCTGTAAAAGGTATATTTTTCTCCATGTACTTAGACGATCCACGGCGGCTTGTTTTGCGGTATACACAATTTCTAATGGTATCGCACCATCCACCTCCCTATCACAACATAAAACACGACCATGTTACGTATAATATTGTGAATATCTATGAGCATAGACATTATCTTTATGATGCAACAAACCTCGAGGTTAACAAGCCAGTTGTTTGCTCCTGAACCAGACCCGCGATGAAAATGATATCCAGGAAGACTTCCATCTAAACATACTGCAAGAAAAAAAAATATAATCGAATGATTATGAATCAATATTTGAAGAAGTGTGTAGCAAGTAACATATATTATCCAAAGGAGATGGAAAATATCATATTGTAGATGTTTTTACCTGCTCCTTTAGCAGCAGCAGATTGAATGAGAGTGAGTCCAACCATTGGAAACTTTGCTTCAGAATAAACATCACTTTCAGTTTGAAACACCTTTGTTCCATTGATATTTGTAAACCACTCCATTTCATCAAACTCCATAATCCCATTTACGTGAACGGTTAAGAGAGTGAGACCAAAAAGAGTCAAACCCAATAAAAGATTCTTCATTTCAATGGAGACACAAGGCATTTCAGAACTTGATCATACACCTTAGTTTATAAGAGAATGAAAGTCACTCTGATGAGATAAAGAGAGATCTAAAGCATTAATTACAAAACGTTTTATTTTATTTTAATTAATTGAAAATAACATTAAATTACAGGACTGTGACATTTAACAAGATAGTTAGCTGCATTTGACAAAAGATTCCAGATCAAGATCTTGTAAAAGTTTAATGCTATAAATTTGGTTACTCATGGATCAGATCGCAGAATGTTGCAGACAGATTGCAATTGTTTCCCAGCTGACCAAAAGTCTATTCCTTTCACGTTCATATACAATTATTGTAGCCTTTAAATTAAACCATTCTTTATAGAAAATTTAGGTTCAGATTCTTAGGAAGCTGCTATCTTTTGTCTTTCTTGGTCAATTATGTTTTCTCCATTCCCAAAATGAAGATTTTTTTAGATTTTTTCTTATTACATAAAAATAGATTTTCTACTTTTCTAAGGTAATTTGTATATTTTCGAGAAATTCTAATTGACAATATTTTGTCTTTGGTCAATAATATTTCTTCCATTCCCAGAATGAAGATTTTTTTCTTAATACATAAAAAATAAAAATATTTTTTCTATATTTCCAAGATACTTTGTACTCTCTCCGTTTCAAAATAATGTATTTTAGAATTTTCACACTTATTAAGAAAACACGTAAAATTTTTTAATAAATATATTATTTCGGTGTTTAGCTATTTCCTATGATTTTTAACCAATCAAAATTCAACAAACATAATTTATATCTTTAAAATTGACAATTTTTCATTATTATCTACATTGAAAATGTAAAAGATAATTTTTTAGAAATAATTTTTTTTCTAAAACATAGATCATTCTAAAACGGAAAGAGTATATTCTAAAAAAAATGCTAATTGAGAGTTTTAAAAGAATTAAATACTAGGATAAGACCCGCGCCTTGCGCGAGATGAAGCTATTATTTTTATTATGTTTTGAAAAATGAAACAATAGTTCGGTTTCATTCGGATTAAAGGTGTTCAATCCGGTTATCGGGTTTCGGTTCGACTCGATTTTTTGGTATTTCGATTATTAAAATATAACTACTATTATAAATCTATATGTACTTCAGTTTGATTTGGTTTATATTCCATCGGGTTTCAGTTTATTCAATTTTATACCAAAAACCATGATTATTTAGTTTGAGATCATATTATATATTATACAAATATATAATATGATCATATTTAAAGTCATATTGTCACATAGTCATTTATTAAAAATATTATATATTTAAATAAAAGAATAAAAACAAAAAAGGCTTCTATCATCTAATAAAATGATCAAATCTAGAATTAATATCAAAACACTAAATTTTTGAAAATAAAAATAAAAAACAAACCAGAAGCATGAAAGAAAAGTTTTTATATTCTTCCATATTTAGTATTCATCAAACCAATATGTCTTCGACTAAACACAACTCTGTTTGTTTAAAGATAAAAAAAAAGTTGTAAAGAATTTCAACTAATTGTTGTCCATATTTATAATCTTTACTTCAATTTAGTTACTGTTAAAAAAGAAAAAGATCAAAATAAGAAGTCTAAGTTATAATAAATTGTTAGCTATTTACAAATTATAATTATAGTTCAACTCATGTAACAAATAGATATTCATGCGTCATTATAAATATATACATATTTACATGTTTCAGTTTAATCGGTTATAAATAAAACCATATCCAAATCCTATGGTTTTTATAAAATCACATCCATTCGGTTTGTATGGTATATACCAAAAATAACCATATTATCGATTGTTAATATCTTTTAAAAATATAAAATTAAAAAATAACTAAGATATTTAAATCATTGATAACAAAAAATTTCAATGTGAAAAA